TATAAACCACGAGGATGCATGTCTGCAGTGGAATAGTATCTTAACACGACAGACAATATTTCTACAATACATAAGTCCTTTATTTTAGACTTATTCGATTTCGCAATGCGAAAGAACTACTTTTGGTTTGACCAAAAATTCTATCTGCAAACTAAGGGAGTCGCCATGGGAGCAAAATTTGCTCCCAGCCTGGCCAATCTATTGGAAGAGGATATGATCTATTCTAGGGAGTGGCCGGAGCTCCTATTCTATAAAAGGTACATAGACGACATCCTCCTCCTATGGCAAGGAGATGAAGAGGCGCTAGTTAATTGAATAATAATAACCCTAATATCCAACTTTCATTTGCTTACAGTACCACTGAAATCATTTTTTTGGATATTACACTGGTTAACAAAAGGAGGCTATCGAATATCAGAGGCGTATTTTAAGATGACAGACAGGGAATAGCTAGATCCAGTTGACAGCTGTCACCATCTTTCATGGCTGCCTAACAAGGGCCAGTTCATGGGGGTGAAAATAAATTGTGCAGACATTAACACTTATCATAGTAAAGCTACCATTCTCAAACAAATATTCCTTGAGAAGGGATATAATAAAGAAACTTTAGATTTAGAGATGGATAACGTGGCTAATATGAATCGTGTCTCTATGTTATCTAATTCCATCACACGTAAGGATAACACATTTTGCCCTTTTGTCACATCATTTAATATACAGCACAAAACCATTAGTAACATCATTAAGAAAAACTGGGATATTTTAAAAGCTGCCCCTGTCTTATTGAGAGCCTTGTTGGACAGACTGGAGATTGTGTTCAGAAAGGCTCCCACACTCAGGAATAAGATTTCCCCCAACATCATAGATCCTCCTCCGAAAACCACATTTTTTGCGAATATGAAGGGCTTTAATCTGTGCAATAAGTGCGTCATATGCAGACAAAGTGGTACATATAACAGAAAAATTACATCTTCCAAGACTGGGAGAAAATATGACATCACTGTCGCGAATGTGCGCACCAGAGGCAGGACGCAGCCTCCATTTTGTTAAGAATCTCCATTTTCTCCCCTCATACTTCCCCCCTCCCTCTCTGAGAGGCACAGTGACATTTGGCCAGTGTGTGTGTGTGTTTAAAAGTGTCACAGGAGGCCGGAGCCCAGCAGGGAGCCACAAAGTGCTTTGCTGTCCAGAGAACCTGTGCAATTTAACAATATATAATCCCCCTGCGCTCCACTGGTATGAACAAACACAACCCCAAATATATGCAAGCTGCTACCACCTATTCCCAATACCACAGGATGTATGACATAAAAAACAACATTGGTGAAGCGCTTCACATGAAAAAACTAAATAAGTAGGTGCAATGATATAAAATACATATAAAGTGACCACACTGTATTGAAAGGTATTGATAACTAATGCTAAATAATCCCCCCCAAAAAAATATACAAGTGCCAAGTGCTGGGAGTGCAAAACAGGTCATGCGTTTGCTGACTAGATCGTGCCAAAATAAAATATATGCACAGTAAACATAATACACAATAACATTACACACTCTAACTGAAAGTGGAACGTGCTCAGTATGGGTATGAATATAGGTTAAAAAGTAAAATCCACAATAAAGTGCAAAACAGGTCATGCGTTTGCTAACTAGACTGTGCCAAAATGCAATATATGCACAATATACATAATACACAATAACATTGCACACTCTAACTAAAAATAAAAAGTGCTTAGTAGGAGTATGAATATTGGTTAAAGTAAATAAAGTGCAAAAACAGGTCATGCGTTTGCTGATTAAATTGTGCCAAAATACAATATATGCACAGTGAAATAATACACAATAACATTGCACACTCTAACTGAAAGTGACAGGTGCTCAGTAGGAGTATAAATAATGGTAAAAAGTAAAATCCACAATAAAGTGCAATAACAAAGTGCTTGACATTTCATGTGCAAATAAACACTGCGATGTCAGTGCTTCAATTCTCCACTCCAAACATGATGCGTGTTAGCATGCCACACGTGTATATCGTAACCCCAAAAATGGCTAAAGTGCCTCCTCACCTTAACCATGCGACCCCTAAGGGCCACAATGCTTTAGGTAATATAGCTCCACCAGACTGGGAATCTCTGTAATAATACTCCTGTAGTACCACTCGATCTCCTCTGCAGGTCACTTATGCCCTCAGATGGTAATACCCCCAGGGATAATCACAATGCCATAGAGAGGTGGACAAAGAGAGCCTCCATAGTGAAATGCCATTTATTCCATATAGCAGATAAAAACAAACCAAAAGAGAACACTCACAGTATAGCAGATCTCATACAGGTGGTCTGCCATGTGCCTGTGTGTGTACTGCAAGGTGCTGGGTGTTCAATGATGGTGTCTGCCGGAAATGTTTAACCAGAAGTACACATCACTGCGCTCTACGCGTTACTCCACGATATCACGTGGCTTCATCAGTGTGTTAAAAGTGTCACAGGAGGCCGGAGCCCAGCAGGGAGCCACAAAGTGCTTTGCTGTCCAAAGAACCTGTGCAATTTAACATCTCTTAAGGAGATAGCTCAGCCTTCCCAGGAGTTCAAAAGACATTGAACCAGATGGCCTTTTTGGAAATCCATTTTTCCCTTATGTGTCAGGAATGGACTCGCCAATGGTGGTGGGACTCACCTGCCTTGTGGGCTGCAGTACCAGGGCTGGCCAGAGGGTGCTCTCAGCAACCAGAAGCTCACTCCTGCAATCAGCCATCACCTGAGGCTGATTGCAGGAGGTGTATTTAAGGAATGGCCAGACCTTCAGTCAGCGCCTTAGTGTATGTTTCCCATGAGCCCCTGTACCTGCATCCTGTCTGCTTCCTGCCTGATTCCTGATTCTGAATGAACTCCGCCTGTCCTGACCTCGGCTATTCCTGACCACTCTCCAGCCTGCTCCTTTGGTACCTTTGCCTGCCTGATTGTTCCTGACCCGGCCGCCTGACCACTCCACCTTACCAGCCCTGACTGCTCTTGTCTGTGTACATTCCGTTATCAGTTGGAGGTTTGGTTTTGTTATATTGTGCGTGTATATTTGTGTATAACCTTTAATAAATTATATTGTTACACCATACTTGAGCCTGCGTTTCCATGTGTCAGTTCACGCATCTCTGGTCTAACGGGAGCCCTGACATTACACCAAGGCCATTCCAGACCAGAAGTGGCTGCACAGGGAAGCCATCTTGGCTTGTTGTGAAGGATGCATCCGGAGGAGGTTATATACTTGTGTCTGCTAGTCTTAGATGACAGAGAATATTCCTATCAGACTCTGCAGGAGTATGCCAGGGATCAGCTGCTAGAATACATACATGTCGCTCATTCCCCTAGTAGATCAGGGCACAGAGTTTTCTGAGGTGCAACCATTGATTCAGGCTTGTGTTGAGTTGGCTTCATCTAGTACCCCTGAAAGCAGAAATGACTTTCTTCCACCATTCAGTGTGGATCAAATAGAATCACTGGTATGGTTGTTGGAGGATGATCCGGATTGCTTCTGGAAACATTATTCAGCATGTTCACCACATGTGCTAGTGGAGTGTATAAACGCAGTGCAGTCTTTGGTCAGACAGGCTATGTGTAAGCGGAGTTGTTCAACCAATACTACAGTCCTGGTCAGACTTGTTACACCCAGCCTCAGGCAGCTTGCAACAAGCCCATCTTGCTTCGAATTATTCCTCTGCTCAAAGCTCTATTTCTGCATCCCCGACAGCACCCCAGTGACAGCCCAATATACCCTGCTAGCTACCACATGTCAGTACCATGTTCCCACTCGCTGCACCTATCCTGCCTTTAACCCTGTAAAAAAGGCCGCTGTAACAACTATTCCCTCCTCTGTTCCACCCTCCAGCTCTTCTCTGCCCCAGCTACTCCATCCAATTACAGACCTGCATTTACTTGCAGTGCCCCAGTAACTAAACCCAAGAAGAAGCAAAAATTCTTTCCAACCAGTACCATCCTACCAGTATCCAAACCAGTCAGCCTGCTGTCTGAGAACCCGGCTTCCGTTGTTCAGCCTGATGACTAATGACCCAGTGTACGCTACCCAGCCTGATGACCCGATCCAGCCCGATGACCCGATCCAGCCCGATGACCCGATCCAGAGTGATGACCCGATCCAGAGTGATGACCCGGTGTTCGTGATCCAGCCTGATGACCCGATCCAGCCTGATGACCCGGTGTTCGTGATCCAGCCTGATGGCCCGATCTGTCCTGATGACCCGATCCGGCCTGATGACCCGATACAGCCTGATGGCCCGATCCAGCCTGATGACCCGGTGTTCGTGATCCAGCCTGATAATCTGATCCAGCCTGATGACCCTGTGTTCGTGATCCAGCCTGATGACCCGATCCAGCCTGATGACCTGATCCAGCCTGATGACCCAGGTGTTTGTGATCCAGCCTGATGACCCGATCCAGCCTGATGACCCGATCCAGCCTGCTGACCCGGTGTTCGTGATCCAGCCTGATGGCCCAATCCAGCCTGATGACCCGATCCAGCCTGATGACCCGGTGTTCGTGATCCAGCCTGATGGCCCGATCCAGCCAGATGACCCGATCCAGCCAGATGACTCGGTGCCCGCTGTCGTGCCAGATGACTTGGTGCCTGCTGTCGTGCCAGATGACTCGGTGCCCGCTGTCGTGCCAGATGACTCGGTGCCCGCGGTCGTGCCAGGTGACTCGGTGCCCACTGTCGAGCCAGGTGACTCGGTGACCGCTGTCGAGCCAGGTGACTCGGTGCCCGCTGTCGAGCCAGGTGACTCAGGCCCGCTGTTCTGCCAGATGACTCAGGTGCCCGCTGTTCTGCCAGATGACTCGGTGCCCGCTGTCGTGCCAGATGACTCGGTGCCCGCTGTTCCAGCCTGGTGACTCGATGCCCGCTGTTCTGCCAGATGACTCAGTGCCCCGCTGTCGTGCCAGGTGACTCGGTGCCCGCTGTCAAGCTTGGTGACTCGGTTGCCTGCTGTCGTGCCAGATGACTCTGTGCCCGCTGTCGTGCCAGATGACTCAGTGCCCGTTCTGCCTGGTGACTCGCTGCCCGCTGTTCTGCCAGATGACTCGGTGCCCGCTGTTCTGACAGATTACTCGGTGCCCTCTGTCATGCCAGATGACTCGGTGCCCGCCGTCATGCCAGATGACTCGGTGCCCGCTGTCGTGGCAGATGACTCGGTGCCCGTCCGTTGAGCTTCAAGGTGGTGACTCGGTGCCCGCTGTCGTGCCAGATGACTCGGTGCCCGCTGTCGTGCCAGATGACTCGGTGCCCGCTGTCGTGCCAGATGACTCGGTGCCCGCTGTTCTGCCTGGTGACTCGGTGCCCGCTGTTCTGCCTGGTGACTCGGTGCTCGCTGTCGTGCCAGATGACTCGGTGCCCGCTGTCGAGCTTGATGGCCTCTGCCCGCCTGTGCTCCACCTGACGTGCCTCTGCCTGCTGCCCAGCCTGATGTGCCTCTGCCCCGCTGCCCAGCCTGATGTGCCTCTGCCCACTGCCCGGCCTGATGTGCCTCTGCCCGCTGCCCAGCCTGATGTGCCTCTGCCCGCTGCTCCAGCCCGATGTGCTGCTGCCCAGCCTGATGTGCCTTCCCAGCCCGTTGCCCAGCCTGATATGCCAGCCCCTGATATCCAGCCAGTTACCTGACCCAGGCGGTGGAACAGATTTTGCCCACTAAGGACTGTTTGGAGCGTCCTGAGGACTCGGTGCCCGCCGCACCTTGAGGGGGGGTACTGTCAGGAATGGACTCGCCCATGGTGGTGGGGACTCACCTGCCTTGTGGGCTGCAGTACCAGGGCTGGCCAGCGGGTGCTGTCTCAGCAACCAGAAGCTCACTCCTGCAATCAGCCATCACCTGAGGCTGATTCGTGCAGGAGGTGTATTTAAGGAATGGCCAGACCTGCAGTCAGTGCCTTGGTGTACCTGCATCCTGTCTGCTTCCTGCCTGATTCCTGATTCTGCTTGATCCTGATTGTTAATGAACTTTGCCTGTCCTGACCTCGGCTATTCCTGGACCACTCTCCAGCCTGCTCCTTTGGTACCTTGTCTGCCTGATTGTTCCTGACCCGGCCCGCCTGACCACTCCACCTCACCAGCCCTGACTGCTCTTCTCTGTGTACTTTCCTTTATCAGTAGGAGGTTTGGTTTTGTTATATTGTGCATGTATATTTGTGTATAACCTTTAATAAATTATATTGTTACACCATACTTGAGCCTGCGTTTCCCTGTGTCAGTTCACGCATCTCTGGTCTTACTGGGAGCCCTGACACTATGTCTCATATCTTGGAATATGAGAGACTTACATAAAAACCAGACATATCATCAGATTGGCTAAGAGGAGACGAACATTTTGGTAGGTCACTCTCCTTGTCCCAAATACATAGGGACGCAGAAAAGTAGATCTCGGGAACCAGGCAGTGTATAATTTCATATATAATATCTAATCAATCCTCAGACGTGTCTGCATAATAATCTACCTGCGGGTGGAATGTCACTTGTGCAGATGGAAAGTTATGGGTCAAAATATGAGTTACAAGAGATTTTGGCTCTAGTTGAGGTATCCGCCCAGACCTCCACGCCCTAAACGGGGTATTGGTCCTTGACTTCAGAGACACACCCCTGCTGAGGAACTACAAATTAGGCTGTCATGCCTAAGAGAGCTGAGTTGAAGACGTCTCCCATTTTAACATCAGTACCACCTGGGGAGACCCTTGCCCTTTCGCTCTGAAACTTGATCTGCTACCCCAGGACTTTGACAAGTACCTTAACCCTTTCACTTCTCTCTGATATTTCTGTGCTGTGCTGTTGTTTCTCTGTATATTTATATATATATCTTAGTTACATCTTTTTCTGTAAATATTTTTATTGCACCCGTTTGACCTTTTAGTAATAAATCTTTCCTTCTGAAAGTGTTAAACTGTTTCTATAGCTCTTTATTGCAATTTTCGAATTCCTGCCTCTAAAGAGAACGCTACTGTGATTGTTTAACCCTCTGTATAAACGGCCTGCAGTGACCGTGTTAAACAGACGATTACCTCAATCATTATAGTGTTATAGCTGATATCGCCGAGTTTCCTCTTTCTCTGTACAAAAAGAGGTGGTGGCAGTGTGAAGGGTTAATTGCGTAATTAACCTGACCCAGTAACAAGCGCATTCAGGCTGCCAGTACATCGATATTGTGGTCCAATTAGATGGAAAATCAATGTGCAGGGTGCAGCTGGGTGTGGCATTGTTACACACGTGACAGCATGGTTTTAGATTGGCTAGTCCTTCGGTCACGAGTTTGGTGAGAAGGGCTGGGGTCTGACGCCGCGTTCGTCACATTATTGGTGACAGCGATCGTGGGATCGTCACATATTAGTGGCAGCGATCCTGCGTCCGTCACAATCACCACATTTTTAACGTGTAATAGTCGCTATGCAGTGTACCTTTTTAGAATGCCCTTGTAAAAAACAATACATTAGCCGCACTACAAGGAGACTCAGAGACAAGTTCAGGGAACATGTCAATAATATTAAAAAAGGATTGAGAGAACATTCACTCTCCAAACATTTCAGATACTGCCACAATAGAGACCCGACAAACTCTAAAATTTACTGGTATTGACATTGCCCAGGGTCACTGGCGAGATACTAATAAGTGTAGATTGGTCTCACAAATGGAAACTAGATGGATATATGAAATGAGAACCCTGACTCCTGATGGCCATAATGTAGAAGTGGATATTAATTGTTTTTATAGACAACAGTTGATTTTATCAATCTTTATTTTTACTATACGCTGCCTGACTCTTCCTCCATATTTATTTTTAGCCTTCTTAGGACATCTTTTTACCTGTATTTGTATAGTTATCCTGGTCTATACATTTTTATAGTTATCCTGGTCTGTATATATATTTTTTTTACTTGTTATTTATGAGCATTCATTCTCTTGTCATTTTACATTGTTCTCTTTTGTATTGTTCTCTTGCACATCCGTTTATGTGGCACTGAATTTGTTTTTTTCCATTTTGGCTACAGAGTTCATTGTGGACCCTGTATCCATTATCCTATTAATTTTTTGTGGCTATATATTATATATCTTTTATGTTATTGCATTTTAGTCCTTTCATATTATTGACGGGTATCACATTGGATTTCATTTACATTTTTTATCATAACATTTTTTACCATATGTTTATTATATGTATTTGGTCCTAGCATTGAATCACTTACCAGCCTAATTTCAATTCCCAATTTTCATATACATTTTTTTATTAATAATTTTTTAGTTTATTAATTGGTCCCTTTATTTTAATATACATGTTTTTAGTGTGATCTGACACTAGCGGATTCAGTTACACTATTACTTTATCCATACCAGTTTAATAATTATCACTTTTTTATTAACCTTTTTTATTAACTTATGTCTCTCCTATTGGGACTTTCCATACATAGTTTACATAACTGCACTTAATTTTCTATCATTGGTCCATATTACGTTATGTACTGGTCCTTGTTGATATACATTATATTGTAGCCCCAGAAACAAAATGCTCCACGAAAAAATGGCGGCTGCTTTTGTGCGCATGCGCACTTTACACTGACCGCAACCATGAGTTTACATTTATTATAACATGATTGTGATCACTAACAGATTCGAGGGCAACCCAGATTTTAATATACACCTATACACTTAGTCTTTTCAATATGTTTTCATATTTTTATGTTATGGCCCTGTAAAAGTTTTTCTGTAGTGCCCATGAGCTACAAAGAAATGGCGCCCACAGTCTTCACGCATGCGCACTTAGTCGTAGATCATGTATCACGATCTCACATCCATTTTTTGGGACACAGATCACACGTGAGATGATTCTTCTTATTGCCAAGTACGGGCTGCTAATCCCCGTTAGAGGCTGTTATCTTGTTCCTTGCTGCCATCCTCTCATGTTGTAATAACCCACGAGAAAATGGCGCCCGTGGTCCTGCGCATGCGCAGTTAGTGCGGATTGTCGGCAAAATGGTGCCTGTGATCTCGCGCATGCACAATTAGCGCTGACCACCAGCAAAATGGCGCCTGCTTAATTGGCATTAGCGTCCAACCACTATAAATAGATCTACATTGATGTCCGGCTGCTATGGCACACCCCTTTTGAGAATGTACATTTTGTACGAAATGCATTAAGGAGGAGCCCGCACGCCATGATGTCACGCCGCCGGATCACGGAGGTCCGGCGGCCATCTTGAAAACCAGCTGGTTAGTGCACCTAGCAGCTTTCAGGCTGCATGCTATCTGTATGCAGATTTTATTCATACCACTACCCTTTACTGACCCATGGGTACCTTTTAAATGTGTGTTCATTTATATTTTTACACTACTTAATAAACTAAAGTATATGTGAAATACTACACTATGGGCACCATTTTTTGCTCCGCACTGATCACTTAATCCCCCAGGAACCCAAGGGACCATCCCAGGGCCCAGAGGAGAGACACCTGTAGCAGACCCTCACCGCAGCTCCAAAGGGGACCTCTAGAAGTCATAACTCACTGCCTTTATCCTTAAGAAGAGGTTGTCCATTCCAGGCTGCACCCTTCCCAGAACAGAGGGGACCTCGGGCTTATTTGACCCAAATGCGCATTTATATTGCGCCTCTGGTGAGTGTGCAATCTTATCATTTTTCCCGCACATCACCGGACTACAGTTATCACTGGGAGTAGAGAAGTCACCTATTGATACACCTGTTGAATTTAATATTGGAATATTTTTCACAGTTGTGGGGACATTTATCACCCTTCCTATATATACAGGTTACGCGGACGTTATCCATATCCATATGTCATAATATTTCTTACGTATATTAATAATTTATATTGTGTTACAACTACCAGTTATTGAGATCACGTATATTTTAGCGCTGCACTACATGTTTTATATGTTTTTTTAGAAGGTTATATGGCTTCCCTTTTAGTGTTCTAGCCGCTTTTCCATCCCTAAGCGCTCGCTGAGCCCGATCTTTTACATTGTGTAAAAACACTGTTTGATTCCTGTCCTTTCTGATCCTCCCCTTCTAGTGTCCCCCCTCTTATCTCCTAATAAGACATTTCGTGTGCAGTCACTCTGCACATGCTCTGTTTGGTGTGTGTTGCTAGAGAGGTTTTTTCTCCTGGGAGAGTGCATGTCATCAGCACACTGCCAATCAGCACTGTCCAGACAGAGGTCAGGGATTCTCCATCCAGAGAAAAATGAAAACTCCTCCAACAAGCTTTAACCATGGCTCTGCTGGACACTGATAGAAGTCACAAGACTGCTATATACTGCTGATGAGAAAATAGATTTAGCAGTTTATATTTACTAAAATAATTGCATTTCCATGTTCTGTGTACTGTGGGAGACCAGATATAGTGAATGCAGGGTCCGGGGAGAGCGGATATAGTGAATGCAGGGTCTGGGGTCCTAGGAGAGCGGATATAGTGTATGCTGGGTCCAGGGAGGGAGAGCGGATATAGTGAATGCGGGGTCCGGGGAGCGGAGAGCGGATATAGTGAATGCGGGGTCCGGGGAGAGAGGATATAGTGAATGCGGGGTCCGGGGAGCACGGATATAGCAAATGCAGGGTCTGGGGAGAGTGGATAGAGCGAATGCGGGGTCCGGGGAGTGCAGATATGGTGAATGCATTATCAGGGGAGAGCGGATATAGTGAATGCAGGGTCCGGGGAGAGCGGATATAGTGAATGCGGGGTCCAGGGAGAGAGGATATAGTGAATGCGGGGTCCAGGGAGAGAGGATATAGTGAATGCGGGGTCCGGGGAGAGTGGATAGAGCGAATGCGGGGGTGCTGGGGAGTGCAGATATGGTGAATGCATTATCCGGGGAGAGTGGATCTAGTGAATGTGGGGTCCAAAAGACTGGATATAGTGAATGCAGAGTCTGGAGAGAGCAGATATAGTGAATGCAGGGTCCGGGGAGAGCGGATATAGTGAATGCGGGGTCCGGGGAGAGCGGATATAGTGAATACGGGGTCCGAGGAGAGCGGATATAGTGAATGCGGGGTCCGGGAAGGGCAGATATAGTGAATGCAGGGTCTGGG